GCTCAGTGTAAAATGATTCATTAGTATGAACCAGTGCACAAAGCAGTGGATGTAACTCTATCGCCCCTGCTATGGCAGAGATTAGAAGCCAAACAATGAGAATCACATTATACTTCATAAATGTGTGGTGAGTGTTCTCAGTACAAAATATCACACACGTCTCACCACACGGTTTTAAAGGAATTTTAATCCTCCCCCCCCCCCAACACAACAAACAGAAATCTCAGCTTGTTTTAGGCTCATGTTTAGCTTGGACAGGTAGGCGAAAGGCCCGAATCAGAGATTAACACACCAGGCTTTAGCAGACCAGAACCACAAAGAGCGCTGACTCGCTTTCTACAGACTAGCAGTACCGAAGAGCCTTTGCAGCTAATTTGCAAGTAAAATGAAACCAATGGAGAGGAAAGAGTGAAGAAAAAACACCAATACGTTAAATTGATGCAGGTTAAAGAAAAAATATTAAAAAATACAAGTTTATGCATTTGTTGGACACATTTTAATTGCAACAACAGCCAGAAAGAAAGCTAAAAGCACATCCCAGTGCCCTGGTTTATTTTTTTCCTTGTCACAAACACCTCTAATCCATTGATTTTATCTTACACTGCTGGTGGCTGATCTTTTAAGAAAGTCTGGTTTTGGCTGTGCAGATTTAATCTGCACAGAATCCCGGGGGCAAAATCTTCTATCTCCTGTGAGGCCACTGTATCTTGACTGTTTTTTAAATACTGTCCTCTAATCATTTCAAATTCCGAGAGGTTAAATGAGGGAACAAAATAGTTCTCTCCGAAATAAACACACAGAAAAACCTACCTTTCCTAGGTATTCTCCTGCAAAATCTAAAGACTGTAGACCCAGCCTCCCCTGTGCAGGAGAAAAGGAGAACGCACGTGTGCACAGTGTCTATAATAATAAACGTTATTTTATATAGCGCCTTTAAAGGTGGCTTCTCAAAGCGCTTTACAGAATGACAACAACAATAAATAAAAGAGAATACACAAGATAAAACACAATTACAATACACAGAGGAGACTGTGGATGGTGGTACCAAGTATAGTAGGAGCAGAGGGGTGAAGAATGCAACCAGTTCAGTAAAGGCTTTTCTAAAGAAGAGGGTTTTGAGTCTGGATTTGAAGGAGTTTAGAAAAGGTGACTCTCTGATATCCTTGGGGAGACAGTTCCAGAGCTTGGGGGCATAACAGGAGAAGGCCCTGTCACCCATACAATGTAGACGGGATTGGGGGACAGTTAGGAGACCAGAGTTAGAAGAGTGAAGGTTGCGAGGTGGGGAGTAGGGCAATAATAGTTCAGGAAGGTACTGAGGTGTCAAGCCATGCAGAGCCTTATACAGTAGGTGAGCATGAGGATTTTAAAGTCCACACGAAATTTGACAGGAAGCCAGTGCAAGGACTCTAGGATAGGAGTAATGTGAACACTTGCACTAGACCTGGTTAGGATTCTGACTGCTGAATTTTGGATATACTGCAGTTTCTTCAGAGTAGATTTAGATGCCCCAGCGAGTAGAGCATTACAGTAGTCAATTCGGGAGAACACAAATGTGTTGATCAGCTTTTCAGCCACAGTCAGGGATAACATAGGGCGTAGTCTAGCAATATTTCTGAGGTGAAAAAAAATGTTTTTGACAATATGCTGCACATATGGGTCGAATATTAAGCCAGAATTGAATATCACCCCAAGGTTTTTTAATTTAGACTATGGGAAGCTTTTCACACCTCCTACAAATTCAAAAGGCAAATGCCCAAGTAGGTCCAAGGTTATTTTTGTCCATCTAGAGGTGCTGACAATGAAATTGAACCTGATGAATTATTTTCCCAGGAACCCCCCCCATCTTAAATAATGCCATCTCCACATCTCCACAACCATGCCTCTCTGGACGAAGAGTAAGTGGCACAGGGGCCATGACAAACTTGTATGTGCTGGCTGCACCCTGCTGCTAATGGGGTTGGATGCACACACAGGTGGGTTGTTCGCGGCAGAACCGCTTCGCACCTTAGAACTGTAGTTGCACAGCCGCGCCACTGTATGGCGCCAGTAAGTCAATGGATTGCTCTGTCTGCAACTGCTCTGGACTGGAAAGAGGCTTACCTCTTAGTGAGGCAGAAGTAGAAAGATAAGCAATTCAGTCTGATAGCAATGCAATGCTCATTTTTACCACTCTTGGTCAAGACACCCAAGAGTTCACCCAAGAGTGTTTTGTTTAGTGGTTTGCGGGAGGGTACAACAGAAAAGGCTGCAAAAGACGAAATACACTGCGATGCACCACATCCTGACAATCAAATAAAAAAAACTTGAGCTCCAAGTACCAGCTGCTTCACATAAAGCAAGTAAAAATATATAGAAAGTATCTAAAAGCTCTGTTTATAAACATGCACAGTGAACAAAGGAGCCTGCTACTTGAGGTAGAGAGCACAACATCCCAAAGGAGCTCTGAAGCCATGGGTCCGAGCACACACGGAGCACTTGTGCAACAGCCGATTCGTGATGCGGCACTGAGCAAGCTCAGACGTTAAAAGATGCCAGTGTAGGTAGGGCCCTGGAACACAAGCAAAATGATTCTGCATCCTGTTTCTTGAGTTGCAGGAAGCCATGGGAGATGAGATGAATGGGGCTGCTGTGGCTGTGGATTTGAACTCATGGTGTATAAAGCAGTGGTGGGGATGGGTAGCAGAGGGAGTCGTGTTTGCTAGTCCACTTAACGCTACAGAAAGCAGGGCCCTGTGGCTTTAGAACGGAACTACTTCACTTTGATTGCAGAGGTTTGGCTAAAGGAAGCCTGAAAATGGAGCTTTCGGCAAGTCCAGCAAGAATAGGGATACACTGGTCTTATAGAGCTAATGAAGGAAACCTACATGCCCTGCTTTTATTCAATCCAAACATGGACAACAGATGCCAAAACCTGCATCTACAATCCAGACCGGAACAGAACAGATCCCAGAAAGTCAGCAGGACACGAGACTCCCTTCACACCACAGACTGAATTTCAAGGAACGCGGTCTAGGGAGAAAGACTCTGAGTGGCAGAACGCTTGAAACGTGGGAAAAAAAAACAGGAAAAGAAAAGATTGTGGCTGATGCTTCCAAAAAAGCAGCTCAGTAGCATGAAGGGTGTAGCACTATATCACATGTGCATGTTGCGTTGCTGCAGAATCACTACTGACAGGTGACTGTGCTTTGATTCAGCACAATTACAATGGGAAGCTTACGTGCTCAAAGTCCTACAATGCTCTCCCTGGTCAAGACTACAGACCTACAGCTGGGATGGCGAGAGCAATTAGCGTAGCACCACAGCAACACTCTCATGACCCTACTCTTCGCACCTCTATATGTGGAGGGATAATGGAGATGAATGCTGCTCAACAGGTAGACCTTTAGAAAGCATCAGAGCCAACGGGACTGTGCAATGAGATGGTTCCCTAACTCTGCAGCTGATGAAATGACTCCGATCCCAAGGCATGAATCATCACCACCTGCACTGAGTGCTTGAACAGGCAGAGCGATATGCAGGGATTTCATATTCAGCCAGTTAAAAAAAAAAAAGACAAGGGTCAAAGCTACACCGCTTACAAAAAACTGTTAATAGGCGGACACTCTTCATGAGGTTTTTAAAAGATGGAGTACAAAGCATGGAGGATATTGTAGGCTGCCATGTTGTCTCAAGCACTGACCTGCTGTTAACCCCAGTTTAGTTGCTACGGCTGCTGCTTAAAACTCCCATTGCTCACTGGAGTTTATGCAGCTCCTCTGTGAAGAGAACAAATCAAATTCTAATGGATTTTAGAGAGTCTGACTCACTCCATCTGGGGTGCCTGTGTTGGGGAACCAGTAGAGACAGTACATGCAAACAGTTCTTGGAACTGCTTTTTTAAAGTTTTTAAAGAAGACTGACAAAAAGGCAGTCAAGATACTACAACTAAAAAAATAGCACTGGGCACACAGAATTGCTCAAGAATTGCTTATGCAGCTCATGTTGGTCTGCAGTTTCTGACAGTTTGAGCATGTCTTGCTTTGGTAATTTGTTTTCCACAGGTTCTGTTAAACTGACTCTCCAGGAACTCCGATGTTTCAGTTCTAGAGTGACTGAAACGCCAGAGACCCAGTCTGTAAAAAAAAACAACAACAACACTGCGATCTTATTAACCTGTCTGGTTCAAAGAACGGGTGAATTTATCATGTCCTGACTCACGGCACCTTAAGTGGATGCCTAATAGCTTGCTGCACTTTTAATTAGCTCTGTCACAGACCGCTGCACGAACAGCAAATATTCAGCAAGCAGAATGGCATCTTTAAACCCCCCTCTTCTTTCACCTCCAGCCCATTACTGCTCGTGTCAAATTCCTCAGCACCCTGTTGCCACTTCATCTTTCGGATGAATTACACTCCTGCATGGCACAGAAATAACTTTCTGATGTACATTTTTCTTTTACTTTGCCCAGTGGCCTGTAGCTGCACCATGAACAATAAAGTGAATCTGCCCATCTGGTCACTTCTTTCTTGCTCCAGGCTCTAATTTTCAGTGAAAAAAAAGAGTCAGGGGCCACAAGTGGAAACTACGTGGCAGTGCATTTAAAACTGAGAACAGGAGACTCTTCTGTACACAAAGGGGTGCAGGAGTGTGGAACAAGTTTGCTCTCGTGTGGATGAAAGCGACACCCTGGTTTCTTTCAAGAGACAGCTGGGTGAGATCCTCCACTCAGGACAGGAGGCATTTCTTCACACGAAGGGGTGTGGAACAAGCTGCCTGGCCATGTTGTTGAAGCCGATATGCTGATTTCTTTCAAATCAATTAACTACTAACTACCAAACAGGCCAGTTAGGCCAAATGACCTCCTCCACTGTTTTTAACGTTCCTGCGTTTGGCAACGCAAGCTTCACTGAGGGCCACAACGACCGCCCTTTGTCCATCAGCCGCTGCAATGACGGAGCAGTAGGGTGGGGGGGGGGGGCGTTGGGGGGACCTGCACAAGAGGCAGCCCACCGACCTACCGTGCGGTAAAGTTATACTCGCGCCGTCGATGATGGCCTGGGCCAGCTCATGATCGTTGCTTTCGAAAGCGTGGGCCGCGGCCTTGAGGGCGTCCCAGATCTCCTTGCGCCCCTCGAAGGCGGGCGCCGTGTCCCAGAACTCATCCCGTTTGCTGCGGAGCTGCCCATCTGTCATCGGGTAATCACTCTTCCATTTGGGCTTGTCCTTCTTCAGGGGCTGATTCCGGCCCAGAGCCACTGGGAAGGGGAGAGGAGGAGTCACAAAAAGGCAAAACAACGAGACCGCTTGTTTGCTTCCCATAAAAATAACGAGCATCAGATTTGGAGAACATAAAAACTTCATAAACCTAAGCCAACCCTTGTACTTTCTGTGGCTTTTGAACATGTCAGTGCTGACAGTTTTTATGAAGCAGGTCCACTTATCCTGCATATCCTGAAACTGTGAAGGCAGTCCAAAAAAAAGGTTAGCAATAAAGACAACAGAAGGAGAAAGAAAGCATATATACAGTATACAGTATATAACGGCTCTTGGCAGAGAACGATCAAAAACTAAAAGCAGCTGAATAAAAGAGTGTGATGAATGGCACGCACAGGGTAAAATGACATTAGAAAGGCCAAGGGTGGCACAGAAAAGAGCACTGCAATGGAGGCTGAAAGAAATCTTTTTCTAGCTCGGTGCTGTAACAGTGAAGGATGAAGTAAAGCAACTTGGATACAGTAATGGGAAACATCCTGCACATGAGAAGGACGAGGCTGTTAAATGAATAGTTCACTCAGGTGTTTCACACAAAAGACACTGAGGACATGCCACAGGCAAAGCAAAGAGAATTCTGCATTTCACAATATGAGCACAGAGGAGGCATTGATGTTGCGCATGTTAGAAATACTACATCACCAGGGCCTGATGGTATTTTCATAACTGTGTTAAAAGAAATGAGAGAGGTTGTTTATAGACTGTTAATACAACATTCATTCAGGACAGGAGTAATACTCTTTGACTGGGCAAACAGATCACCCACAGCAGACATCAACAAAAAGACTGGCCAAACCAAGACAATTAAATATATGTCAATATACCAATGCTAACTACTGCACCACCCTGCCACCCCCCGCAGCCCACATTTCTGACCCTTTTATGTCCTTAATAACACAATGTTATGATCACAAACACAACTCATAATCTTGATAATGCTCTTGTGAATATCTCATCAGTCCATGATCTAAAGAAGCCAACATGCTTTTGCTTGATAAGCAGAAGTCCCTAAAAATGTATACAAAGGGGCATAAGAAACAAAGAAAACACTGTGCGTTTTGGATGTCGGGGAGGGCCAGAAAGCAGCATGTTAAAAAGGCAACCTCAGCCCTGCAGAGAGTCACGGAGGATTTCCTCCTTCCCAATCCCAATCCCAGCAGCTGCAGACCTAGTACAGGCCTGCCTGTCTGTGAGGCAGGGGCTGGGAGCCGGCTGTCTCCAAGCCTGCCCTGGAGATTGGCGTGATACACGGCAAAGATTTCTACAGCAGAGTCCCACAGGACACACTGATATACATACCATCTGTCTGCACCTATGGAGCCACTCTGCAGACTTCCCCTTCTGCGGCAGGACTAGAATTACTTAAAGTGTTCTATAAAAGGAGCGACTCCATTACCTGTTATAAGGCAGTCCTAATGCACAGTTAGTGAAATCTCCTGTGAGAAAAATCCCTAATTATAAACCAATCTAATAATATTTAAAAGATACGTTTAATCGTTAACTGTGCATTTGTAACATAATCATGACTAAAACCCCCCTTCAAATACATAGTGTGAGAATTAACTGGTTTAAGATTCTATAGAAGCACAATGTGCAAGTACAATCCAGAAGTATTAGGACCACAAAAGTAAAAACATATCACTGTACTGCAGTCAAAAAATGTGTAATTTTGATCAGGAAATTAATATGAATGATAACTACAATACAATAGGTCTTATATTGGGGCTATTCCAGGCATCCACTCGATCACATACTTTGTGTTCAATCTAGTGGCCAAAGGTATTACGGCACGTTGCCTTTAAAAGTTTCAGAATGTAAAAGTTTGGTTGCACATCCCTTTAAGGCAATCACTACCCAAAGTGTACAACCCATTAAACTCAACAAACTCTTTCTGCAATCATTTGAAATGTTTGCGGCAGCCACCTCTGAGATCTTGCCTTTTCTTGGAGTGTTCCGACTTCAGTTTCTTTCTCCAGCATGCAAAACGCAGACTTGATTGGATTTGAGTCTGGAAATTGACTTGGCCAGTTGAAGATTTCCTACTTTTTTCTCCTGATTGAACTCTTTTGTTGCACTGTCCATTTCTACTAAAAGTATTTTCCCCATTTAGTGTAAATCATGCAGAAATCTCATTTCTCTTATCTTGAGCAGTAGCAAAATACAGGGGAAGTTCAGATGAAATTGAGAGCAATAGTCATATTATCAGCTGCAACCACGTATAAGTTAAAGCAAAATAAATGTACAAGATTAATGAAAAGTGCCTGATTAAGACTGAAGGTGATTTGAGTTCTTACTCAAACAACAAATTCAATTAAACAATTAAGATCAGGATTGGCATGAAAACCCTCAGTCCCTCAGTCTTCAAAGACTGGCATTGCTTGTTTCCGAGTTAAATGATTAATACATTTCTTACGGCTCACTGACCTCTATGTGCAGAGAAGGTATATCCAATGAATTTATTGAGTGGACAGGATGCATGATTTAATTTAGTTTCCACTCCAGCCTTACTTTTCTAAGAAAAACCAGGATGTGAGCAAGGGCTGGAAATTAGATTCCAGGTACACAGCAGGTTGATCCCATTTCAGGCTTTTACAATCAGCAAGGTCTTTTACAATCAGCCTAACTTTAGCTCCGGATTTTAGCCAATGCGAATTTTCTCAAAATAAGGCTACAGGAATAAAATATCCAGTGCTCGGAGTTGGCTTACATGCTAGCAGTGTTGAAGCCAACGGCGATGCAGCTGGTGCTGTGAAACTGGGGCCCCACCGCGGAGAGGCACCCACAGGTGTCCCAGCCAGGTGTTAGAAACTCAAACTCTGGGTACCTCAAAAAACAAAATTAGATTCACTTGACACTTGAGTACCAAACTACCAAACTCACAAGATGGGCTGAGTCCCCCCCATCTATACTTTCTTATGTTCCAAGTATGGGCCCAACCTTTAACTCAAGGCACCACGCCTAAAGTTAAACATGAAGCATTTAAGAAAAATAGTTGCTATTCTGATTATTTGAATTCACTCGTATTTACAGTAATAATAATGAAAGTCTGCCCTGCTCACAGGACTTTCTCTACCCTCATCAAAACTTGTTTAATGAAGTAATTAAATTGATATGACTGTGGATGACGGACTGGAGGAAAATGGCTAGCTCAGGCTCTCTGTGCCTCTGTGGTCAAGGATACAAAATAGTCAAGCCTCCTGGGCCACTGTGGTTAAGAGGACAAACGGTCAAGCTGTCTGGACAGTCGTGGGCAAGCAAACAATGGTCAAACTGTCTGCGCTTCTGTGGGAAAGGGTCAACTGTATCAAAAAAAGTCGCCTGCTCCCCAGTGTCCAGCCGCCTGCTGAGTAAAGCAAGAGATTTTTTACAGCAATACATGGTCCATTATTTTAATGGCTCTTGTCAGAAGCACAGGTTAGTTATATAACAAAAGAAGGATGGCGAGAACAGTTTCCCTCGGCCTCAAGCCCTGCTGAACAATATACATCAGTGCTTCCAGGAAAAGCCGCCTGTGTTCCATTAACACTGCAGCAGCCTTTTAATTTCAGGCAGCAAAACTGGGCCCTCAGTGATGTTACTGCAGGATAGCAGACTGCATACAGGAGGCCTGCATGCACCAGGGATGTCATGGTTGAGGGCCAAAAACAGGAGTCAGGGTAACTTCGCAAAAGAAGATTCTGTAAATTGTTCTGAATGTTAAAAAAAGCAAATATAAACCTTAGGGGTTTTAAAACATTATATACATTTAAAAGCGGTTATAGAAAAGCTATCTTGTCAGATTCCTCACAAAACACTGGCATTAAAGGGCGGTCATTAAGTTTGCAGAATGTAAATGTTCAGCAAAACATGGTCTGTTATTCACAAGAAAAAAAGTCAGGCTTTTATTCGTAGAAAAGGTTAAGGTCAATTAATACCACTTGTTTTGATTTTGTGCATCTTTTAGATAGTTTTCAGTAAATGTGTCAATGGCAATTAACATGTCGCTTCTGAAAGAGTCAACATACCTCTCTAAACCCTCCCAAAAAAACAGTGGTAGAGCTGCTTTTTATTTCTCTTGGTAAAACAGCTGCCTGCAACCTCACAGTTGTCTCCCTTTAACTGGTGCCAGCAGGAAAGCGCATCAAGTCTGCATTTCAGATGCCTGTTCACACAGCTGTCTCCCTAACTCTCCAAGAGGCGTTCCCGCACGGAAAAATACCAGAACCAGTCTGGTCACAGGCACCTAAACCCAACGCCACTGTACAAATTGTCCTGATGAGGCGTAAGAAGCAGCATCGCCTTTACAGTTTTATCTGTCGATGTAGATTCACGCGAAACAAGCTCAGAACATTCGACACGGAGTGATGCCTTTTTACAGGCAGGTGAAACCTGAAACGGATCTGACTGGCCCGCAATCAGCCAGAAGACGCTCACAAATCCAGAAACCCCGAGAGACACGGGCTCACACACTTGCCACCATTAACTCCATACATCGCAATCCCTGTGCAGCTATTCTGCTAGTTCCAGATGCCAAATGGTTTAATTTAATAGAACACCGTTGGAGACTGACAGCATACGTCCAAATTTATCACTTAGAGCAGCTTCCATACCTGAGCTTTCACGAGTACGAGGCCATCTGAATTGCTTACCGAAAAGTTTTCGGCAGAGATATAGTGTGAATCTCTTGTCAACAAACCATCTAGAATTGGAGAGCGAACAATGACTGTCGGGTAACCTTTTCTACTGGAACTACTGCACAAATAAACACATTCAAATGTTCAAATCTGTTTGAAAGACCCATAGTGAAGCCCAAAAGGATTTGGAAAGGCACTCCAGATTCGTCTCCCGGCTCCTGCTTGACTACAGATGGAAGAAAATGAATGCACACCGCCGGCTCTGGTCTGACAGAGAGTATGGTCATCTTGGAAAGGTCCAGCTGTTTCGGCAATCTATCTCCTTGCGCCAAGCCATTCACAATGGTCACTTTGCACTGTATTCCCAAGTG